CCAGACTTGTTTTAAACATCTATATAAATAACATGATAGAGGTTTGCAGTTGTGCGCGCATCACGGAAAAACTACTGGATAGATTTCAATTAGGTTTTCTAAGTTTTATTTCTTAGACACTTGGCCCTTATCTAAAAAAAAATATTGCGATATCTTCATTTAATATAAAGTTATTAAAGTTTTAACAATTTTATCCCCGAGGAAAGGAGAAAATGTTTATCCCCGGGGAAAGGAGAAAATGTTTATCCCCTCGCTTAGTTTTATCCACCCTTCGAATATGGGCACACCGGTGGACATAATATTCACAGTAGATAAATTGGGAGATAGACTTAGATAGATTTTTTGTATGAATATAAACTTGAACCCATGTCCAATGAACTAGGATAAAATAGTCCCTTTCAAATATCAAAAAAGTATAATATTTTATCTTTCATTTGGCTCCATGCTGCGGACGGGGGATATATGTCTACTCGTTATGTCAAACGGGGATATACTTCTCCCCGTTGCCGTGCTTTGGCATAAGGACAAGATAATTTTATCCTTTGTCAGTGGATATAATCGGGGGATACATTTTTTGTCCCCAGCCCATGCTAGCCGTGCGGAACTATATATGTTCAGCAGTGCACTTTTGATGAGCTGTAATCACTTCGACCATGATGAATGAATGAATGACAATGACTAATTGCAGTTTGAAGAAAAGACTTTATTTTCTATATTTTCAGTTATGATGTTGGTGTATTATGTTTTTGTTAAAGAACGTTAAAAGACAATGATTTTTTCAGTGTTATTCTTAGTAAATCGTTATATAACGGTTATGCTCACAGTTATGACCATCTGACGCTGATCTGGATATTCTACGTGTGGCGTAAGTAGGATGGTATACATACAGCCATCTGTCGGAAGCCATAACATTTTCCGGCATTACCCATAGTAGCCACTTAGGCCGGCCTTGTGGCCGGAATTCCGTTTCGGAAACCCGAAACGGCGGAATTCCGAATCGGGATTCCGTGTATACATCACACACATACTTTTTTTCTTTAGATTATGTAAAAAGATCTATCTATCCAGAGATTTTTTTTTCAATATGGATGTCTGTAAACCCTTTCGACGAATTATTAAACAAAATAAGATGAAAGGTTACGAAAAGCCATACACATCTTAGATTAAATGTAAAACACACACCTACTCGCTTCGGTCGTGCGACGAACACTGAGCGCGTTCCGTACGGAATTTACGAATGTGTGTTGCGACTCACAAAATCTATGGAAGACTTGCGTTCGGAGCGGCTTATTTCCGTTCGGGATTCCGAACGCACAGCCGGTCATACGGAATCTCGAGTCGGAGAAAATTCCGTACGGAAAATTACCGTTCGTGTGTGGCGGGTCCTTGATTTTATATGGACTTGCTGCGTTCGGGATTCCGAATCGGAATATCGAAACGGAATCCCGAAACAGAATTCCGTATGTATGTGGCCGGCCTTACAACTCAAACGGGACAAAACGGAGTACTGAATTTTCACACCGCCACCACGCGCCTGATTTATTTGGCTACCTTTAATTAAGTTATGTTTGAGTTCGCTCTATCGCCTCCTAAGACACGCACGGCACGATATGAAGTAGTGGATATTCTTACACGGATACAACACGGTCAACTGAAAATAGAGATGGGCAGCAGTATCCCGCCTACCAATATGCACCTATGTTCAGCAGTGGACTTTTGAAGGCTATAATGGATTGATGGACGAATTATATTATTTTTCATTTAAAGTAAAATATATTCGATAACAGCGTCGTCAGTCCAGTCACATGCGTTGACAAACACGTTACTAAACTTTGCAAATTTTACAACAATAAACATGGCAGGCAGCCCAAACTTTGAACTTTGTTTATAAAACAAATCTTTATTTGCTGGAATCACGGTATGGTAAGATGTTACAACGTATCCAGTGTAGTCGTGTTTCGCTAACATTAGTACACAGCATGCGTAAAATAAAAACCAGCGTAAAATAGCAGCTTAACGATGCTGTGTTTCGTATGGTGAGTGTAGAGAACCGGAGACCCTTTTTACTGGCAAAGAGGCATTCCATCTTAGTCCTCACGGGTGACAACGCATCTGCATCTTGAGTCTTTATTGAGGATAGATGTAGATATCTATGGGTCACTTACCACTTACCATCAGGTGAACTGTGTGCTCGATTGTCACCCTATCCTATAAAAAAAAATGCAAATTATATTTTTAAACTGTTTATATGACAAAAATAATTACTATCAAAATATCTTTAAATTCATAAAAGCCTTTAGTTTTTTAAAAAATCATACAAATGTTTCTTGTATAATCTTCCGCTTTATAATTTTAACTTTTAGGTATTTTATACCTCAAATTATCCCGTGGGTGTATGACACCGGCGAGAGGCGAGGCGAGAGTGGGAAAGAAATCAGGAGTTAATCAGCAGCATCTTCCTAATAACGACTGGAAATAAAAAAATGCGGTTGCCAAGCACGCTTGTCAAGCGTATCACCCCTATCAGGCAATCTAGCAGAATTTGAGGAGACCTATGTTCAGCAGTGGACTTTAATAGGCCGCAACGGTTGGTATTTTATTACATATATATTTACACGCAAACATTTAGAAAATTCTCATTATATTCAAGTAGTCTTTACTTTGATGTCCGCAGAAAGTCCGACACTGGATGGAAAAGGCCAAATGTTTCTTAAAACTTTGCGCACTTACGTAAACGTCGGTGCCAAACTTAGCGACTATTTGCGTATTTGAAGCTAACTCAGGCCCCAGCCTTGAACACATTTCGTGGCAATTTTCACCTAATCGTTACTTACGAAATTCACAGGATAAATTAAATAATGTATTCCGTACGCCTTAAGCTAAATTTAAACGACAATCTCAAGAAATGAAATTGGAACCACCGTCAAACCGAATCTTGTTTGCTTGAAACGAATATTATACTGATGAAAAATTATAGATTTACTGTTCAGAAAAGGTTTGAGCATTTCTTGATTGCTCGTTTTTTTATCGTTTTTACTACAAATCACAGGTACTCTTCGGATCCTGAAATGACAGCTCCATACCATCTTAAAAATGTAAGAAAGCTTGTAAAAAGTAAAGTTGCAGCCTATATACATCCCACTGCTGCACACAAGCCTCCTCTAATTTCTGAGAGGGTTTTAGGGCAAGGAAATGTCCGCCGCAATGCCCCAATGCGTGTTGGCGAACTTCACATGTCTTCGAGATATATATATTTTTTTATTTCTCAGACATGCAGGTTTCTTCACGATGTTTTCCTTCACCGCCGAGCACGTGGTAAATCAGCACTTAAAATTGCAATTAACAATTTCACTGGTGCCGACGGGGATCGAAACCGGGTTGCTCGCGTACTGTGAAACTTACAGCGAGCGCTAACCATCTGAGCTACCACGGCTCTTGAAAGCTTGTGCCTGTCAGTTATGGGACTTACCGTAATTTTTTCTATTATATCTACCGAACATATTTTTAAAAGGATTCAACATTATCATCATTACAGCATATCAAAGTCCACTACTTAACAGAGGCCTTCCTCATGAGGGGGATGCTTGCCTTAGTTGACGCTTGGCTTTAGTTCTACTTATTTTGGGTAGACGCTGCTGTCCATTTCCTGGTTTGTATCTCTCTGTCGTCTCTTACGACATCCACGGTACCATATGGAATAGTAAACCGCCAATACAAAGTAAAAAAGTTACAATATGAAAATATACTATATTCAATAACTATATTAATATGCCATACTAATGTATAGCATATTTCACAGATCAATGAAGAATAAAGTGTGAAGGTCGCTAATGGCTGACGGTGGCTGTACGTAAAACGATGCAATGATGCAACACAGGTTCTAATTCGAACATGGATGTCATTCATTATTATTTGTAGACTAGCAATCCTTACAAGGTTGTTATGTTGATAATATTTAATTGGACGGATATTTCATTTAGCTTCATAGAAAATTATAACGCAAACAAGCTTCAATCGCGATTTGATAGTAAGTATGATGCTATGACTCAAAAACGTCTAAATCTATCCTGGTGTATATATATATATGTTACAAAGCCCTTTAAAATATGTATGTAAGTACAAAAATGCTTTGAATATTACAGATGCTTTATTCAGAAGCTAAGCCAGCACCATCAAATGAACAGAGATAAAAGAAAACTTCTTTTGGTGGGTTGTAAAACAACTGATTGAATTTTTAATTTTTATTTTATGTAAATAACCTAAAACTTGAAAATTTTCAGGTATTCGGGACGTCAGGTGACCTTCGCGACACGGAGTGTCGGTCAAGCATGGAGGAGACGATATTATAATCAGGAGATGCATTACTGTCATAGCGTCGGAACAATGTCCGTTTGTTAAGGCTGCATGAATAGTGAAAAATACGTAAATGTATTGGAAACTACTTGCATGTCATGTCTTCACTAACGCGAATTTCGGCAACACTAATTTGAATGCGGTCTAATTCGAACTAGATAATACCCCTTGTCATAATTTAGCGACCACAATGCGTTAGTTCAACTACTTCACCTCTTTGTTCCTAAATAATAATATTTAACACTTTTATTTGATAATTATCAGAAACTTGTATTATCTGTGAAAACAAATTCCTCCCTACATTGAAGGTTGTTTAAGAAATTTTTGTTTATAAGACATTGGATTATTAGGACAATCTAATCACATAAATAAAAGTGTCAAGTGCAATGTGGTTAATGTGTTAAATAGGGTCATTATTAATAACTTTTAAATGTTAAAATGACTCGTATACTTTACATTAATAATATTTAAAAGTACTTAGTAATCGTTTCTAAAAGTTAAAAGGATACAGTAAGTAGTAGATAAATTGTATTCAAGTCATACAAGAAGAAAAAAAAGAATGGGATTGTATGAACTAAGCTTAGTAGGATATTCTTAATATGTTTATAAGTGATTATTTTTTATTGTCAATAAACAAAAACACTTACCTTTTATTATTTCAGTGGAGGATATGATGACATCACTCTCATCCATTCTCGCTTTGTAACACAACAGGGTGGATGATTTCTTTATTTTGATTATCTTGTGACACTTCTACAACTGGAGCAATTTGTGTTCAAGCTGTGTTCTTCTCACTCAGATTTTCTTGTTGAAATACATCATCTTGATCTGTATTTAAAAAATACTTAATGCTTGCGTAGTTTGAATGATATGTACCTAGAACAAATAAACATTTCATGAAATATTATTATACTCTGTTAATTTTAACATAATATTTTAAAGCAATTAAGTAAGGATTAGATTACATTTGGAAATAAAAAAAACATTTAATGTGTAAAATTATACCGTAGCAAATAAGCGTTGTGCTTACATTTGTTTGTTTAAATTGAAACTGTTTATTTTTAATTTTACATGCTTGTGTGTTCCTAATAACAACTAAAAATTACATTGAAACTGTATATTTTTAATTTTACACGATTGTGTATGCCAAAAAACAACTAAAAAGTAATTTAAACAATATTTTTAATTTTACATGCTTGTGTGTTCCTAATAACAACTAAAAATTAAATTGAAACTGTATATTTTTAATTTTTCACGATTGTGTATGCCAAAAAACAACTAAAAAGTAATTTAAACTGTATATTTTTAATTTTACATGCTTGTGTGTTCCTAATAACAATTAAAAATTAAATTGAAACTGTATATTTTTAATTTTTCAAGATTGTGTATGCAAAAAACAACTAAAAGGTAATTTAAACTGTATATTTTTAATTTTACATGATTGTGTGTTCCTAATAACAACTAAAAATTAAATTGAAACTGTATATTTTTAATTTTACACTATTGTGTATGCCAAAAAACAACTAAAAAGTAATTTAAACTGTATATTTTTAATTTTACATGCATATGTGTTCCTAATAACAACTAAAAATTAAATTGAAACTGTATATTTTTAATTTTACATGATTGTGTATGCCAAAAAACAACTAAAAAGTAATTTAAACTGTATATTTTTAATTTTACATGATTGTGTGTTCCTAATAACAACTAAAAATTAAAATGAAACAGTATATTTTAATTTTACACGATTGTGTTCCTAATAACAACTAAAAATTAAAATGAAACAGTATATTTTAATTTTACACGATTGTGTGTTCCTAATAACAACTAAAAATTAAAATGAAACAGTATATTTTAATTTTACACGATTGTGTGTTCCTAATAACAACTAAAAATTAAAATGAAACAGTATATTTTAATTTTACACGATTGTGTGTTCCTAAGCTACATAAATAAAATGATAGAAGTTTGCAGTTGTGAGAGCATCACGGAAAAACTACTGGATAGATTTCCATTAGGTTTTCTAAGTTTAATTTCTTAGAAAATTGTCACTAATCTGAAAAAATATTGCAATATCTTCACTTAATATAAAGTTATTAGTTTTAAGAAACAACGATTTTTATACGGGGTTTTCACACAGTCAACTGTACGTCACTAGCTCTCACATGACTAACACAGATAATTAATAATATATTTTAGTTACAAACGGAGCAAGGAATAACATTGTTTTGTTTACAAAGAAATTTTGTAAGCACAGTATATTTTTGCTTGCGATCTTTTTGATGTTTTTTCCTTCGCACATACAAAAAGTTTGTTAATATATCAAGCAATGCGGACAAAGTCAAGGTTATCATCTAGTAACAAAAAAGAAAACATTGTAAAAACATTGTGTAAAACCAATGTGTACAATGTTGTGTAAGGCACCTTATAGTGTCAGGGTAAGAGAATTCACTACCCCATATCAAAGCATGGGTGTCGTAAGAGGTGACAGAAGGAAAAGAAACAGCAGATGGGCAGCAGCGTCTTCCTGATAACTGCTCAAAATAACAAAAAACTGCAGTTGTCAACCTGCCTGAAAAGTGTAGCAACTATGACAATTATCCCCTCTGTAAGGCAATCTACAGGGGAGACTTATTTTCAGAAATAGACTTTTAATAAACTATATTAAATGAATATGTGAAACATTTGGAAACACTTCAAATGTCGCTCCACATATGTAAAACTGTAACATAGTTGAGCCAACATAAACTTTCTACTAAGAAAGACTTATAATTATAGTTAATAGGTTTATCAGTATATCAAATTGGGAAATGTGACTTCACAATTTGGTACTTTGATTTGTCACTGTCAAAAACCCATAACAATTTTTTCGAGATAGAATTTTTTAAATAAATGCTTTTATTTATTATGATTTTAGTTTCAATTTCACTACCTTTAAAATATTACAATATAGATAATATGTCCATTATTCATATTTACTACCTTCAATATAAACATCAATATTACTACATACCTTTATTTTTTATATTGCATCCCTAATCACACAGTCCACTTTATGGTAAGTGGATGCTGTGGCTTATTATATGCCTACATCTATCCTCAATTAAGAATCAAAATGTAGTTGCATAGTCACTTTTGAAGGCTAAGATAAAATGCCGTATTACCTGAAAAATGCTCTCCTGTTCTCTACAGCCTTCATACATAACACAGCATTGTGATATTTTATAATGATATTCTGTGAGAGTATGGTCCTATCCCGGTCAACTCAACCTATTCTTGCTACAAATATAATATAGCTGCAGCATTGCTCTACCAAAAACTAAAAAATATTTTACAGTTCTTTTCACTTTGAAAAGATAAAGAATTATAATATTTTTAAAGGTTTCTTTCAATTTTATATGAACAATAATGTTTAGTATATCTGAGACGGGTTAAATATAGAAACTTAATTTTAAAAAATTACTTAAAGCAATAAAATGAGACGAAAGTAATACTGGTACCATTTGGGTGGCAAGCCAAAAGTAACAAGCAGTTACAAAATACATAGAACAACATTTTAAGGAATAAGTGTGGGCTGTAATACCAAAACTGAAAACTTGTTAGAAAGCAAGCCAAGTATTTCCTATAAGACAGCATTCTTTTTATTTATTTATAATTTGGTAATTTTATATTGGTAAGAAGAATGTTTGGAGCTCTACATAAACTAGGTGCGGTGGTCAGTTTACGTAGTAATAAAAAAATACTAAAAATATAAATACATAAAATTAAACATTATCGTACCATCTGTTGACTAGCCACTTAAACGCATTTCCATGAACAGGTAGCCTTGATAATCAACAAATATAACAGGTAATCTATTGACTGACAAGCAAAATAACACCGCAATCGAACATTTATCTTATTAACAACTTCACTTTTACTTAAAAACGATACACGGAGCGGTATATAAAAGCTGTATAGTGTATTTTGTCCAGTTTTATTCTCATCGTAGTGCCTTTTTTTAGTTTCGAGGCGACAACGCAATTCGCATCATTGGTAAGGCGTAGGAGTCTTCTTAATAGACAGCGTAGGTTGACCCCTGCGCTTAAATTTAAGGACGAATGGCTTCGTACCGAATTCCCGAAGCCTTCGCAACAGTTAAAACAAGAAATGGTTTTCTATTTCTGTTTCAATTAACCGAATACTAAACACCGCTCAACCATATTTTTATCACACATTGACAATTCACTTTTATAAACATGTAAACAGAAGCACCAGAAATAACAAATCAAGTTATAAATTTATCATAGCGACAGAATTTTGCGAATTCTCGTTTAGCTCGAATGCAATTTAAAAGTCTCCATAAATAAAATGACGTAGGTATTTTATTTATTCATCAAAGCTGATGCCGGACCGAACAGCAAAGAGTATACCGAACAGCCGTTGGAACTTGGAAGTTGGATTGGAATTGGATTGGTGGACGTCTCAAGTATTATATATTAGTCTATGATTGGACGAGACGGACTAGATTAGACTAGCCGCGTACGTACTACGTAGGCTTGGGCAAAAAATATCGGTACATCGAAATATCGATATTTACCCATGAAGTTATATATCATCGATAATTTTAATCGTGATGTGTCGATATTCGATATTTATTTTACAGTATCGGATTCGTATTAATTGAGTTATGTTTTTTAGCCGTCGACTGATTTATGTAGTCCTCGCTGCGGAACATCACAAGGACCGTTTTGTATAACTAAATAATTGTTTGAACTTGGAAGCAAAAATAATAAAAATCTTCAGGCTTATTATTTATTACGATTTTTGAATGTTTAAGAAATACGTAAAATCTATGAATAAACGAAATATAGACAAATATCGATGTTTTTATCTTGTCCTCCTACTAGTACGTGCTACGTAGTGAGGTAGGCGCGCCTATTCAACTTCATAAATCATTCGACTTATTTGAATAAAATAGATTTTTTTAAATTCAATATAGATTAATACTAGCAGTTGATTGCTCGCTTCTCTGGGCTTAAATTAAAGTTTGTTTTTAGTTAATTATTTATAAATAAATGTTTTTTGAGTACATATAAATGTATTAAATTAAAATTATAGTCAAATTAAAACTGTATATAATTAAAATGTTATGACAAAGCTTCTTTATAAACTATATAAATTACAAGTCATGCCGTTTAGAGCATTAATAAATAAATCGGAAGAATCACTTACTCTAGAACAACCAACAGGCAACCAATTGACCAGGAGAAAAACAATCAGAAGTTAAGTCTATACCAACTGATTATAAAATTTGGCCTTGAGACTTATTGATGGTGATAACGAAACAGCGTTTAAGAGGATATTGAGTTCGTTTGAAGTCACAATTGTATTCCGAAGAAATGGTTGGTATTCGGGGTGTAAATACTGTTTCGCCACTTCAACAACCTGTCAATATTCTAGCTTCAATAATATTTCGTTACAATAATACAATTTGCAGCCGAGTTTCATTGCATAATTGAGGAAGATTCAGATTTCTAATAAGTATGGAGCACCCACATTGAGAACTAATTTATGGCTTAACATCCCTGGAAAATTGAATGTATTTAAAAACTCTGCAGGAAAATTTATATCACCTTCCTCAACTGCACTATCGATGGACGAATACACTACTTCTTCTCAGTCTAACATTTCTAAATTATTTTTTGTTAATG